AAAATGATCATATTTGATAGGTATATCAATAATATTGTACTAAATCTAACTTCTTTTATTTAAATAAAATAAAACAATTGTTTTTTCGAAAATATATATTTTTTCCATTTAATAATTTTTATTCTCGGTGCAAATATATATATATATATATATATATATATATATATATATATATATATACATACATACATTAATATAATTAAATATATTATTAGTATCCATCTATAAGTATTTTCTATTTTTTAGATATTTTTTAAAAAATATATATTTTCCTATTTGAAAAAATTTACCCTTCGTGTAAAAATATATACAGGGTGTCCAGAACCTCCATGATGACCCTTGGTGAGAACGTAGAACGAATTGAGCAAAAAAGTCCTATGTTGTTTTGCGATATTCGTAATAATAGTCGAGATATTAATTAAAAAAGATTGGTGAATGATCACGCGCGATATAGTAGATGAGCTGCAGTGGGGCCGTCTGCCGTTGTATACTTATATATTAAGTCAAACTGAACAAACAGTCCTCTACCACTTTGCAAATGACCACATAGATTTTTAAATATTAAAGAAAATTGTTACATATATGATTGTATACCATAATGCATAAATTTTCTTTAATTAATATCTAAAAATCTATACGGTAATTTACAAAATGGTAAAGGACTTTTTTGTTCAGTTTTATTTATTGTATAAATATACAACGGCAGACGACGCCACTGCAGCTCATCTACCATATTGCGCGTGATCATTCATCAATCTTTTTTAATTAATATCTCGACTATTATTGCAAATATCGCAAAACGGCACAGGACTTTGTTGCTCACCTCAATCCTTTCTACGCTCTCATCAAGGATCATCATGGAGGTTCGGGACACCCTGTATATTAGTATATAAGAGTAAATATGTTATTAGAATATCTACCATATAAATAAATATTTTTTTTATATTTCTTCTCTCACGCGCGCTTCTAAAAATTTTTATTATTTTTTAATAATTTAAAACTTCTCTCCATATCTTTTATTTGTTAATAATGAATGTTTATACTTCAACTTTCGATGTGTATTCAAATCGCTAATTATCGTGTATCCTTATAAAAATTACGCAATCTTGGCCCTATATACTTACATGTCTGACTATATTGGAAAGTTTGCACTTTACCTTGTCTCCGAATAACGTGAAAACGAAGTTGGCGTAATCCACGAAGATATCTATTATAACGGGGTTCGCCCAACCGCCCAGCTGTTGCAAGCGATACGGCATGTCATTGTCGAATAACGAAACCATCGGCGTGATGTTGTTAGCGAGCATCTCGGTGATTACATTATCGTAGAACGCCACGCCGCTCGAGCTGACGCGATTGGTGTAACCGTCCGGTAATATTCTGCTCCAGGACAGTGAAATTCTCATCATGGTGAGCTGAAGAGTAATTGAAGGTAATGTTATCACTGCGGATCCGTCTATAAACCGCGTACTGGCATCGTTAAAATCGTACGCTGCAGCTCTAGGCAGCTTAAACCGTTTATTCGGTTCTCTCATCGTCGATGAAGTTACGCAAACGTACAGAAAAATAAACTGGATTCATTGATTCAGCAAATTTATAGCTTGCTAGACAAAATGAAGTGTTATAACTAAACAGATTTGCTCGCGCAGCAAAGAAATGATGTGCCAAAGCAATTGTCAACTTGCTCAATAGAATAAACTCATTTTTCTAGATACATATAATTCTAGTTATTGTAGTAAATCATTTTGTATATTGCGAGTTAATTTAAGTTTGCGAAATAAATTTATTTATCAAACATATCATGCCACATTTATTCAATAAACAATAAAGAAATATTATTGTTTTACAAAGAAATGATCTAATTTAGCTGCAATTGCATTAGTCATGTGTATCAGCCTTGCCCAAGATTGATGCATAAGAAAATTTTCTATTACTATAATTATTGATTTTTATCGTTATAAGTATTGCTATTTTAGTGAACTTATGTTGTCGCAGCAAATAAAATTATTAGTTATAATGAAATTTATTAATGTACTAAATTTACTAAAAAAAAAAGTTAATTATAGCAAAAAGACTAGTTATATTGATAAATATATCTTTTTATATCTTAAATTATATTTTTCATTGATTTTGATAAAGAACTGTCTTTGCTGTATCTACAAATCTGCCATGATTCAAACTTCAAACTTTACTAGATACAATCACTAATTTTATCTAACTTTGAGATTTTGTTATTATAACGTAGGAAACTAATTGTTTTCATATATTGCGAGTATAAATTTGCTAAGCTAAGGATTTTAGTTGTAATTACGGATCTTTTCTTTCTGTTTACGTATTTCTCGCATCGACTTACGCCCATGGCACTCGCCAGTTGAATATCTTCTAGGTATTTATGATAAAAATCACTCGAAACGTCTCCATTAGAGTAACCCGAAATTAAAGCTGGATTCGAATGTGTCATATAGTCCCACACAGATTCGCCTTTGTCTGAAATTTTAATTTAGTTTCGTGATAAATTGTGCATTAAAACACGTTAAAACTCATTAAACTGCACACAAAATTTCTCTACTATTTCGCAAACAACCACGTAAAATTTTGGGTTATTAATTATTAAAGAAGATTGGTAATTGTGTGTGTATGTGTGTGTGTGCGCGTGTGTGCGCATGTGTGTGTGTAATCACACGCGATATGATAGATGAATTGTGATGACAACGTTTGCCGTCGTGTGTTTGTACATTAAGTCAAACTAAAGAAAAAAGTTTGCTACCATTTTGCAAATAACCACGTAGATTTTTAGTTATTAATTAAAAAATATTAGTGCACGATTGTACGCGATTATGCGCCAATTTTCTTTAATTAATAACTAAAAATTTTATATGGTTGTTTGCGAAATGGTAGAAGAACTTTATGTTCAGTCTTATGAGTTCTACCTGCATACAGTTATCAGATGCACTGAATAATACTAATACATAAAACTATTTAATATATTAAAATATATAAAAAAGTAATTATGTAATATATAAAGTAACTAATAGTATGTAAACTATATAATATACAAAGTAACTAATATATAAAATAAGTATATAACTAATATATAAAAGCTATTATAATTAGTAGTATATGAAATATAACCTTTAAAATATAAAATTTTAAATGTTCATTGTACGACTATAATAGAGAACTAATGAAGCAAGATAGAAGATATATATATCTTAAATTATATTTATTTTTGTAAGAAGTCGTGCACAAAAAGGGCGGGGAAAGAAGAATTATTTAACTGTATCTTAGGTAATTCGATCACTGTCTAAGCGTAACGTAAAGTTTGACACATATTTTTACGATACGTTTTGGAATCGGAAAAACAAATGTCGAATAAAAAATCTGAATGTCAGTTATATTCAACAGTAAATAAAAAAATCTATTTTCTGAGAATTTCTTAGAGACAAATTCTTCCACTGACCAACTGTTTTCCGAAATGTAAAAAAAGAAGCATGTCAATCTTAGCATTCGTAATTGTATAATTAATGGAAATCAACGTGGCAGTCAACATCTCCGAGAGTCAAATATGAACAAGATATGTAAAAACGACTTGCGTGCGTTTCGCTTCTTTTTTGCCGTTTAACATAAGATTTAACGTAACGCGGGTAACCGAGGCTCGAAACACTCTTACTTTAAATTAAAGTGTTTTATAAATTTTAAACTGTTTATAACATACCATCAACGTTCCACGCACCCTCACACTCGTACGCCGAACTGGCTACTCCAAAGTAGAAATCATCCGGGAATTTATTATTGGCGAGAGAACTCGCTCGTTCTATTTCAGCTTCAGAGGGCAGAATGATTATGTCGACTTCGTTGCTTCTATCGTGGGAGAGCCCTTCATATACGCCGCTAATGAAACTAGTAATAGCAACTAAGTTGTATAAAGTTAATAAGCTGAACATCGCTGCAAATTCTTGACACTGTGCTAAAAGTCAGGAAAGAAAAATAACATTACAAACGTCAAAATAACATAATACTGTAAGACCATAAGCTAGTAAGATCAGAGTACGAGACTTGAGATTAACAAAAATTTAATAATTGACATCATTTAAAATCAATTAATACAAAATATAATTAATCAATCAATTAATATAAAATAGGTAAAAAGTTCCTTGTCTCTCCGTCTCCTTTTCTCTCTCTTTAATATATAAATCTTTGCTTACCTACGTAATGTTTTCAATGCGACACACAGGCAAGTTTTCTACGAAATGACGCACGAGTTTCCTACAAATATAGAGCGCAATTCGGTGCAATTAACTATCTTACAAGGCTACAGCGATATTTATAATTGTACAATGTTCTACAAAGTCCTCTGACTCATATTTGATAAGAAAAAATTGGAATTGCACTTTAGCGACACATGTCACTTCATATTTCTTTTTAGCAACTTGAACGTTTAATTAAATATTTAATTCCTTAACCCTTTAAGGCCCAAGCATTAATTCTATCCAAGTAAAATTTTTTCTTCATAAAATAGTCTTAAAAGACTGATGAAGTTTTGTGATGTGAATAAAATAGTAGTGAAATACGATTTTCTGAATGTACACAATTATGTGAATTTATGTTCGCACGTATGCTCCAGATATAGAATGTAATAAATGTCATAATGAACATTAAATGTGATAATGAATATAAAAGCGCCAAACTTGTACTTTAAGATAACATCAATAAAAAATTGAGAAAATTAAATTTGTTCACTTTCTTTCGTGAAAAACTCTACACAATTTTGAGCGTCAACGATTTTGCTCTGCACACAATCGCCATATTGGTTTCTTCAACAGAAAGTGTTTCACGAGTTGGGGCGAAGAATATAACTCTATTTAGGATGGATCAATTATTTTATATCGACTGAATCTAAAATACTAGAATATCCGGTGCAGTTATTTTGACTTCTTCTCATCGCCGCCAGTTCTGCTTCTAGTTTAAGAAAAAAATCTCTCGTGACTTTCAATTGTCCTTAAAGTAAAACACGCTCAAAAAGTAACGGAAGAGATTAAAAATATTGTAATAAATTGTTTTATGATGTACCATAGATACCCCCAAAGAAAGTCATTTTGACTTTTTATTTAATTGTCAATGTTATAAGAGCAGTATACAATTATTTGAGATTTTAGTTTTTTAATCTTGATTAAGTTTATATCTTATTTTGTGTTCATTTACTAGCTTTTTTGAATACGGAGAAAACATTGTAATAAAAATTACACAACAAAATTTTAGTAATCTTTATAATATAGAATTATGACCGAAATTATGATATATTTGTTCAAGAATGTTATGCATGTTTGTCTTTTTAGTTATAAATTATTGTAAGTACGTAAGTAAGTTGAATTTTTATTATACCGTATACCAGATAAATTGTCAAATTTATTATTTTTATAGTAATTGTAACTATATATAATTTATACTATACTATACAATTTGTACAATTTCAGTGCAGTCAAAACAAAGTTCACAAAAAACATTGTAAAGATAAAATATAATTTTAATGTAACTTTTATTACAACATTTTCTGCATGTACTAATTATACAGAAGAAATAAATAATATCTATAAAAAATGTATCTTATATATGTACGATATAAAAATATAAATTATAAATTAGGATATAAAATATATTGAAAATTGTTATAATTCAGTTGCAATATATAAAATGTTTATATTTTACAAGTTATATTATGAGTGCATATTCAAAAATTACCATTGATATGATTGATGAGGAACAAAAAGAGTTTTAAGATAGTTTTAGAAACGTAAGGAATCAAAATGATTCTTCCGGGCATTCAGAGAGAATTGTCGGACATTTTAGTATCAAAGAGTTAAACGCGTTCGAGAAAAATGGTGTCGCTGAAATAAGACGTCAGTCATACGACGTCATTCGAACGATCGAGCGCACCGTTCGCAATGAGTTCTGGGATTAGCGTATCGAATCTTACTGGGAAGTACTCAGGTAAAATTTCATTCCATCTACCGGCATTGCGGGTAATGAGTATAACCGTCGTCGTCTTTCCAGCCGTATGATCCGATATTTGGAAAACATTTGCTTGCGTTCACGCGTCATTACACCCGACTGTTACAGTTCAGTGAGCGTCTTTTTCCATCGACCATTCCCGGACTTCCGCGGGGGCTATTGATCTCGGCCGCGATCTCTTTCCCTCGCAACGTAAAGAAAGTACGAGAAGAAATTTATCGCGCCGCGAGTTTTTCCTCGCTTGAATATTTATGAAATTTTTACGCTCGTATCTCGCATACCGGATAGGCGCGAATGATTTATCGGGACTTAAGACATTTATAGAGGACTAAGTGATTTATGCGTTCGTGCGAGAGAGAGAGGGGGGGGAAGGTGGGGGAGGGGGAATTACAATTCAAAGTTAAGTCGAGAGTATAAATGTTTCCTAAAGACGCACGTACAGCAAGAAATTTTGTGTCAAATTTAATACACTTCGTATGTCTCAATTTATTCACTCTGATTTTTGACTTCTGACGTTAATCTAAGACAAGGCAAATATGTTAACAAATAATACAACTTACCTGTGTGCACACTTTACATATTGGGAGTACAAATTAGTTCGGTCCGTTTTTTTTGTGGTAAAAAATGCATTTATTTCAGAACAAAATGAATGAAGAGATTAATCAAAATATTATCCATCGCTGGCTACTACTTTTTCCCACCTCTCAGGCAATTTTCGAATTCCATCTCGAAAAAATATCTCGTCTTTTGAGGCGACCCAAGTTAGGAGCCAATTTTCGATTTCTGCGAAAGAAGTGAGCCGGTGACCTGCCAAATCGTGCTGCATCCGTTGAAACAATCAATAATCAGAAGGAGCAATGTCCGGTGAATATGGCGGGTGCGGTAAAATATCCCACTTGAGCGTTTCCAAATAATTTTTTACGACTTTTGCGACATGATGCCGAGCGTTATCATGCAGAAGAATAACTTTGTCATGTCTTTGCTCGTATTCCGGCCGTTTTTCTCGTAATGCACGGCTGAAACGAATCAATTGTAGCCTATACCGATTCTTGACTCGGATCTTCATCGAGTAATGCCTCCAATTCTTTGTCTTCGAATTTTTTTGGCTGTCCAGAGCGAGGCTTGTCTTCAACGCTGAAATCACTATTCTTGAAACGTCGAAACCATTCCCTACATGATTTATCAGTTGGAGCATTGTCACCATAAACTTCTACAAGCATTCGATGCGCTTCAGCTGCACTTTTCTTCCAATTAAAGCAGAAAACTAAAACCTCCCGTAAATGCTGCTTAGTTAACACAAAATTTGACATATTCAACACAGTAAAAAACAGGAATTTTGTATGAAACTCAAAGCGATATAAACTGAATATTATTGACAGATGTCTAATCTCTCTGAAACCACCGAAATCAGTTGTCACTATAAAACATTCATAACAGCCAGAGCTATCTTTTGAAAACGGACCGAACTAATCCCAATATAAAATATGTCACTAAAAATTCGTATATGTACATGTAAATTGTGTTACTTTAAGACTTAGAAGTGACAAGTATGAGCTCAACGTAGAATGGTCAGAATAACACAATAACAATATATTAAATTAACACACGGATATATTACAAATTTAACACAAAAGTTACCACACGGGTCGATTTCAACACAAACACAATTTTTTTACCGTGCAGGAAAATTGCGCGATTGTGAAAAGCTAATAACGCGCCATGTTCAAAAATATATTTAAAATCGTCCGGTAAACTGAGATATGACTGTGTCGGTTTATTAATCGACCGTTTTGTCAAAAGAGGTACAATGTCGATATTTGCCGCGAGTTACGGCGAACCAACGGAGAACTTTCTTCGGATATGGACGGTGTCAGGAATTCCGGTTTTCCCTAATATCCCTCAAGACTTTTGATCTACCCAGCATGGCGTTGAATGATTTCTTCAGGATGGACGATCCGACGTACGGATGTATCTATACATTAATCAGTTCGTGAACTATTATTTTGTTACACGGACAGAATCTTATGATTAAAGTTACTGTTACAAAATTTTGTAACAGAGGAGTAGATTGACATTCTGTAGTAATTTTTATCCTTTCATTTTATATGTGCTACTTATATTTTAGATTAATTGAAAATTAAATAAATTATTATTAAATAAACTATTAAATAAATTATTATAAATAATTTGCTACTTTATTTAAGATAGATTTTACTATAAATTTTACAAAATAGATTTACTAAAAATAGACAGATCATCTATTTTTTCTTCTACTACTTAAAAATATCTATACTATCACGTTATATTAAGTTAGCCCAGATAGCCAAACCTGCGCAAGCAGATTTCGAGCAGAGCTTGCTATCAACTTTTGATGGCAAATAGATAACAAATTTGATGCAGGATCTGTTATATCAAATTTTGCTGCCAAATTGCCGCCAAATATGCGGCAAAGCTTGTTGTCGGATAATTGCTGCAGATTTGCAGGAAAAACCGCGCAGAGCTTGTAGCGATTTGACGGCAGATTGGCGGCAGAAACCGCGCAGACTTTGCTGCGCTGCAAGCTTTGCGCGGTTTTTGCTGCAAATTTGGCACTAATTGCCCGACAGCAAGATCTGTCGCCAAAACCGTAGCCTAATGTAGACACAGATAGCTATGGTTTTGCTGTGGGTTTTTGATCAAATTTGCTGCCAATCTGCGCGCAGTCTGCGCTCAATTTGCTTACTGAGAGGTATCATAACATTTCGAGACTATTGCACGCTTCCAGTATTTTGAAGAAATTGTATTTTAGGGGAGATTATTTTAGATATTCGGATATTCGGATGTGGAATTACGACTTGTCGAGAAAAGTTCTACTCGTCAAATTGGAAGATTTAGTTTTTTTTTTAGAACGGTATATGTTCACCGAATCCTTTTTCAAGCATTTCCGAGGCGAAATTTTTATCCTACATTCAGCTTTACTATTCTATTCAACACCTATTTTGATACTCTGAAATCTTCATCAACCTATTTTGATTCTGTTCAATCTACCCAAGTCAAAATATTGATATCTTTTAGCCTCATTATTCCATTCAACATTTATTTTGATATTATGAAACCTACAATACAACCTATTGACGTTAAAGAAAGTGAAAAAGAAAATTTTGGATCATCAGATGTCAAAGTATTGGGAGTACAAATTAATTCGGTCCGTTTTTAAAAGATGGCTCTGGCTTTTTAAAAGATGGTCACCGAACTAATTTGTACTCCCAATAGGAATA